TTCTCATCTGTTCTTGAATTTCTTTAGATCGCGGCATGATGTGTTGCTTTTTAAGCATGCTTCACTTTGTCAGACAGGTTCTATTTAAGTGATTTCTTGATTCAACAGGTCTGGCAGTAATCAGGCCTGGGTATGGCTAGTAAAATTTAACTCCGCTTTCTAAAATAATGTGGTTAATTGCAGTTCTTTCATGATTTAACAGGAGGGGGCAATTCATTTTTCACGTAGGGCCACGTAGGTTTGGACAGCTTTTTTCCCTTAATAAATTAAATCATCATTTAAAAACTGCATTTTGTATTTACTTGCATTATCTTTGTGTAATATTAAAATTTGTTTGATGATCTGAATCTTTTAAGTGTGACAAATATGCAAAAAATTTTAAAAAACAGGAAGGGGGCAAAAACCTTTTCACACCACTGTATATGTGTGTTTTTTTTTTGTTTTTTGTTTTTTTATTAAAATGGAGCAACAGTGCAGCATCCAAACAACATTGGAGCCCATTGAGTTTCAATATGGACAAAAAAAAAAGACTTCAAAATATCTTCTTTTGTGTTTTACATAACTACTAAAGTGCTACAGATGAGGGTAAGTACATGACGGAATGTTCATTTTGATTAAACTGACCCTTCGAAGCTCTGCATGGATGTAGCACCGTGCAAAAGCAATTGTTTTGGCTTAGAAATGTGTCTGATCTAGTTATGCTTTTTATATTGTTTCATATTGATTAAAATAAATTTAAAGGGATAGTCCACCCAAAAATGAACATCCAAACCTGTATTTTTTTTTTAAGATATTCTGAATAAAGTGGATAATCAAACACTTGCTGGTACCCACTGACTTCTGTATTTTGCATACTATGGGAGTCAGTGGGGACCAGCAACTGTTTGGTTACCCACATTCTTCTAAATATTTATGTTCAAGAGAAGAAGAAAAATCATACAGGTTTTGCACAACTTTATATGTAAATAATGGCACATTTTTCACTTTTGGATGAACTATCACTTTAATCAGGCCACTTAAGCCCTCATCTCATGTGTGTACATCATTTAAAACATTTCAAATTTCTTGATGTGGAAGAAGCTGCTTTTCAAAACTCCGAATGGTGCTTTGCGCCATTTTATATTCATTTCTTGCTAAACCAGTAAACCTGCAAACTGCAGCTTAAGAAAAAAAACAAACCGAGAGTTTCTTTCTATTTGTCATCCCTACAGCGCAAATGTCATGCTGGTTGGCCTAAATGTGAGGACTTAATGTCAGTTATTTATATGGTTTTAAGGCATGGGCAAAAGAGCCTTTTGTCTTGTTGCACCTCGCACAACCACACTCCCCACAGTTCATCTACAGCCTCATCACTTTTCCCTTTCTTCCTCTCTTCCTCATCTGTCTGCATGGGGTCTGTGAGTGTTTGATACTTTCAGTGGCAACAGAAGATCTGAATCGTCATTATCACGCCTTCAAAACCATATCACACTCCTCGGCCTACCTATGGTTTACATTTGCAATGAATGACTACTGCAGCCATTTTTGCAATGAGGACATAAAATCACCACAGTGCTTTTTATTAGTCACATCCACGGTTAAACAAAATAGGTAGGCCTAGTTAAGATGTATGTCCAACAGAAAAGGCTGTGTTTTCGATGAGAGCACCCTGATTTATTTTGCTGGTAGTTTTCCTTCGCACTGCAGCAGCAGTTAGGGTTAGTGGAAGTCTGGTTTGTATCAGCGCGAGGCAGAGCGCGCGGCGGAAACTGACGCGTCTGTGGTCGGCCGGTTTTGTGAGCGCGCGTTACCGAGGTTTCAGTTTTGCTGCGCTTTAAGGAGCGCGCACCTGTCCTCAGTGATTTATTACTGCTGGTGCGCGAGACACGACACTGTAGCACGGCCTAATCTGTCTGCAATAAATACAGTCAGATAATAAAAGTGAGAAGAAGTATTGCATTTAATGTTAATTTTATTATAGAAACACCTCGGCTGGCTCTGGACGCATTTACTGGTAAGTCCTATACGGTTTATTTGGAAGATAATGGCTCTAATGGCAGTGAACTGACAAAATCAGTTTACTGTCATTAGTTTTTAAAATAGGTTTAGGTTTTGCCATGACATTTTCACTTAATACCCCTAAAACCACCTGTCCCCACAGCAATGCCTAAACTTTAAATGATATAATATATAAATATGTATCTTTGAAAATTGGATTAGAATATACTTTTTGATGAGTTTCGGTGTCCCTACACACCGTTAGATATTTATGAGGCATTTTAAAACATTATGTATTATCAAAGTCTTCATCCTTAAGATCTTTTTTCTACATCCACTTGCTTATAAGATCACAAAGGGTCTGGAGAAGTTAAAAAAATTATCATTTGAAGTGATCACATAAACTGTAAAGAAATTGTTTTGGGGGTTTTTTCCCTTCCATTTGTACTTGCAATACCAGAATCACCAAATTGTGCATTTAATACACATGTGATATAAAAAAAATATATAGCTTTTTTCAACGCTGTAAGATGTCACTGTAAGATTTTCTTTCTGTGGTAAAACAAAAATAGACAAAAAAAATCCATTTGGCAACAGGGTTATTCGTTGAAGAATGGCTAGATTTGCTTTTTATTTAACTTTAAAAATGCAATATTTGTTTTTGCAAGATCTGTAGTCTGTTTTTGCCCCAGTTCACAAAGTTTCTCTGTTTGTGAGTTAATAGTGTCTTCAGGCCATTTTTGGAATATTTGTTTAAAATACAAATCCACTCGTTTGACCAGCTTCTCCAGTCCATAAATCTTGCTCACCAAGAAATAGAAGACAAAACATTTTCCTTGAGTAGCACTTTAATTATATTTCACTTTATTTTGGTCTCAAGCCTTTCTATGACAGGGGGGAAACTTTTCACTTCCTGAGTCGTTCTTTAAAGTTCTGGTTTAAATTTTTTCCCATTAGGTTTTCTCCTCTCTCACTCGTCTGGAGTCTCACGTGTACAGATTGCATGGTAGTCATCATGGACGGTCTCTGGTATTCCGGGACAGCAGAGACCCCGTGATGCCATGCAGGGTAAAGGTACGACCATTAGTTTGCCAATTTTATTTTTATTTTTTTGCCTAGAGTATGCATTTATCTTTGCCAATTCCAACTTTTGTTTCTCATCTGTAGTATGTAGTTTAGTAGGCGTTTTTACCTTTTTTGTAAGCAATACTTTTTATGAATAAATATGTATACGGGTATACAAAAATTAAAATTAAATTTTTTTTATGTGAAATATTATACAGTGTATATATATATATATATATATATATATATATTTACACTGTATAATATTTTTATTGTAAAACATTTTTGTATGCTGATTTTTGGTATTTTTAAATTGTCATTGCATTTGTTCATTTTGAATTTCAGGAACGAACATTTGAGTGCAAGGAATGTGGGAAGGTATTCAAACGCTCATCCACTCTGTCCACTCACCTCCTGATCCACTCGGACACGCGGCCATATCCCTGCCAATACTGTGGCAAGAGATTCCACCAGAAATCCGACATGAAGAAACACACCTTCATACACACCGGTGAGACTCACAGAGATTTGAAACTTTGAATAGGATGAATTATTTAGATGAAATGGGGGGGGGGCTTATATTTCAATTACCATATATTGAGTGCATGTGTTTTGATTGCTCCTCATTTGACAAGGTTTATTTTGTGATTTGTTCAGGAGAAAAGCCGCATGTGTGTAAAGTGTGTGGTAAAGCCTTCAGTCAGAGCTCCAACCTGATCACACACAGCAGAAAACACTACAGACCCTTCAGCTGAACACACTGAATCCCAATCAAGACCTCTGTGAATGTACATAAGTTAGCTTTAAACACAAAAAGTATTATAAATTATCAAGTGCATAGTTTTTAAACCAAGTCATTTATTCCCGCAGCAGTGCGTAAGAGCGTTACGTGTGAGATGTAAACGAAAGTGTCATCATAGCTGTACATTAGTAATAAATGAATGCAAAGAAAAAGAGATTGCACCATTAAATGCAATGTTGACTCATATAGATGGATCCGGTGATACAGAAATGAGTCAAGCAGTAGTGCAGCTGATGGCCGCAGGTTCATTTGAGTCACTGCAAAACAAGTTTGTTTATAGCTGTTCACACTAGTTGAACCTGTGCATAAATCCACAGAAAGCAACAATCCGATATCACCAAGTTTTCACAGTTTTTTCTTCTAAAGCCCATCGATTTGAATGACATTTTAAAACTTCACCATGACAAGTAAAATACATTCAAAGCTTTATTGTTTTGTAGTTGCTATTAAGACTGTACATCTGTCAAACAAAAAGAATGATGATTTATTTATTTTACAAATGACTGTAAAGCAGGAGCTCTTAAGACTGTGTAGTAGACCTATTAGGAGTCAGAGATTCATAAACCATAAATTATGGCTGTAATTGCATACTGCTGAATGAAGTGCAATGGCTGACACTCACCTGCAAAGCAGCCCTCAACACATGGACCATCTGAGGGCAGACAAACCTCAGTTGAACACAAAATAAATCTGACAAATCCAAAAAAAAAACACATTAAGTTACATGTCAAATTAAATTTGACTAGATTTCTAAGCACTTCCAGAGCTGCTTTTTACCTCCTCGTCTGTCTGCAGATTGGCATCTTCAGACAGGAACTGGAATGTAGTGATTGTGAATCGTCTAAGATGATTGATCGGGGCCACTGTAGGTGTAGCACGAGGCTTGTGGGTTGGGGTCTGGTCAAGGAAATTTGGCCACCTAAAGTCAAAAAGGTTGAAATTAATATTTTTAATGTTTTTATTTTAAATGTTGAAAACAGTTGTGCTGCTTAATATTTTTGTTGAAAGCATTAAACCATTCAAAGTTTGGGATAAGATAAAAAAAAAAAATACTTAATCAGCAAGGATGCATTAAATGAATTAAGTGACAGTATAAAAAAATAGAAGAAAAAAAATCATAAATAAGGATCCAGGCATATTTTGCAGAGCGTGGGTATGCAACACAGTAATGCACCAGCAGCATAGCAGTGGGGTCTGGAGGATTTAGCAGACACACTTCCAGGTAAAGGGGTTTTCCCAGCAGCATATGCAGGGGCTGGTGGTATTGAGGGTAATAATCATTGTAGTGTTCATCTGAATGAAAAGAGGTTGTAGTTAATGCACAAAATCTGATAAATCACTTTTTTGAGGTTGCAAAAGTCATCAAATGCCTCGATTTTCTTGAACATGTTAACATTTCACTTGGAAAAATGGTTTATATTTTTCAACAAACTGTAAGGGAAGACTCAGCTAGGTTTTATATGAAGAAAATGTTTTAAACCTTTTGCAATCCTGAGCTGAACTCCAAACACCCCTTGAGCTTTGATAGAAGGTCTGAGGGAGGGGCTTTTCACCAGATAACCCACACTTATCACAGATCCAGGTAAATACCGACACTCAACCAGTAGTCTGGGACAGCAGGGAACATGGAGTCTCAGCATGTTGCTTGGCTCTTTGTGTATCAGTGTAACTGTACTTTCATGTGTACCTTACAGGTGACTCTCTAGTGATGGTGCCGTAACTTAGACTGAGGGGCTGCACTCTATTCAGGATCTCCACCATGTAGATGACCGTTTTACCCACCTCCTGGAGACCATTCAATTAGAAAAGTATTATAAATTATCAAGTGCATAGTTTTTAAACCAAGTCATTTATTCCCGCAGCAGTGCGTAAGAGCGTTACGTGTGAGATGTAAACGAAAGTGTCATCATAGCTGTACATTAGTAATAAATGAATGCAAAGAAAAAGAGATTGCACCATTAAATGCAATGTTGACTCATATAGATGGATCCGGTGATACAGAAATGAGTCAAGCAGTAGTGCAGCTGATGGCCGCAGGTTCATTTGAGTCACTGCAAAACAAGTTTGTTTATAGCTGTTCACACTAGTTGAACCTGTGCATAAATCCACAGAAAGCAACAATCCGATATCACCAAGTTTTCACAGTTTTTTCTTCTAAAGCCCATCGATTTGAATGCCATTTTAAAACTTCACCATGACAAGTAAAATACATTCAAAGCTTTATTGTTTTGTAGTTGCTATTAAGACTGTACATCTGTCAACAAAAAGAATGATGATTTATTTATTTTACAAATGACTGTAAAGCAGGAGCTCTTAAGACTGTGTAGTAGACCTATTAGGAGTCAGAGATTCATAAACCATAAATTATGGCTGTAATTGCATACTGCTGAATGAAGTGCAATGGCTGACACTCACCTGCAAAGCAGCCCTCAACACATGGACCATCTGAGGGCAGACAAACCTCAGTTGAACACAAAATAAATCTGACAAATCCAAAAAAAAAACACATTAAGTTACATGTCAAATTAAATTTGACTAGATTTCTAAGCACTTCCAGAGCTGCTTTTTACCTCCTCGTCTGTCTGCAGATTGGCATCTTCAGACAGGAACTGGAATGTAGTGATTGTGAATCGTCTAAGATGATTGATCGGGGCCACTGTAGGTGTAGCACGAGGCTTGTGGGTTGGGGTCTGGTCAAGGAAATTTGGCCACCTAAAGTCAAAAAGGTTGAAATTAATATTTTTAATGTTTTTATTTTAAATGTTGAAAACAGTTGTGCTGCTTAATATTTTTGTTGAAAGCATTAAACCATTCAAAGTTTGGGATAAGATAAAAAAAAAAAATACTTAATCAGCAAGGATGCATTAAATGAATTAAGTGACAGTATAAAAAAATAGAAGAAAAAAAATCATAAATAAGGATCCAGGCATATTTTGCAGAGCGTGGGTATGCAACACAGTAATGCACCAGCAGCATAGCAGTGGGGTCTGGAGGATTTAGCAGACACACTTCCAGGTAAAGGGGTTTTCCCAGCAGCATATGCAGGGGCTGGTGGTATTGAGGGTAATAATCATTGTAGTGTTCATCTGAATGAAAAGAGGTTGTAGTTAATGCACAAAATCTGATAAATCACTTTTTTGAGGTTGCAAAAGTCATCAAATGCCTCGATTTTCTTGAACATGTTAACATTTCACTTGGAAAAATGGTTTATATTTTTCAACAAACTGTAAGGGAAGACTCAGCTAGGTTTTATATGAAGAAAATGTTTTAAACCTTTTGCAATCCTGAGCTGAACTCCAAACACCCCTTGAGCTTTGATAGAAGGTCTGAGGGAGGGGCTTTTCACCAGATAACCCACACTTACCACAGATCCGGGTAAATAGCGACACTCAACCAGTAGCCTGGGACAACAGGGAACATGGAGTCTCAGCATGGTGCTTGGCTCTTTGTGCATCAGTGTAACTGTATTTTCATGAGTACCTTACAGGCGACTCTCTAGTGATGGTGCCGTAATTTAGACTGAGGGGCTGCACTCCATTCAGGATCTCCACCATACAGATGACCGTTTTACCCACCTCCTAGAGACAGTTCAGTTAGACGTGCATGGAAACTTGCTCTCAGATACACACCAATTGCAATGAATCTACTCACAAATCTGTGCACCCCACATTCATCCAGAGGGATCTTGAAGAGGGCCATGTCAGCAGTGACTTTTTGGGGTGTGCAAGAGCTGTCGCCAGCAGTGACGAGGCTGGTGGGGGACAGGGGCGGATGAGTGAACCGAGAAAACAAAATGCCGATCCATTGTGCATTCTGATTGGGAAACACAAAATACACACATAGTAATGTTCTTGTTTGATTCTGATAAATAAATCTTTAAGGCAAACTATACAAACAAAAACAATGTTGTAAAATTAAAGGGGTCATATGATGCTATTTCAATACAGCTGTCAGTTTAACATGTTTTGTATAACTAATAAATTGTAATTAATACCTTATCATTACATACACACAAGTAATCTGATAACATTTTGATTTAAGGTTTATTTGTGGTTTAAGTTATCTGCTCAAAAAACAATCAGGTGCTTTTCAAAACATAACACTTTACTTGTAGTCTTTAAAAAAAATGCCTTTTATTGTACTGCATTCTATGGCCTAATGAATAATTGTAACCATATCTATAATACATTATAATACCTGTTACAACTGTATAAAGTATATTAAAGCACATGACAAATAATCAATTTCAGATGTAACAAAGAATTTGATAATATATAATATAATAATATAATAATGCATTTTAACTTTAATGCATTATAACATTTCATAAATAATTGTAATTAAACTAAGCATATGCTTTGGGAATGACCAGATGTGCAAGATTTTGGGGATTTGGTGCTTGATGTTCTGAACAAGGTCATCTAGACTCATTTTCCCCAAAGTTTTCTCATTTTCTGTTATTGTTGAATGACAACTCTTAATTTTCTCTAAAAGAGAAAGACTGGAAATTCTGGTTAGCAGCCTCGACTGCTGCAAAGAAACTTTTCGTTCAACGATGGAAACTTCCCCATGATCTTTCCATCAAACATTAGTTACATTCCTTACTGGAGATACTATATCTGGAACTGTCATCAGCACGGACCAACCATGCTAAACCGGTTACTTTGTCTATGTGGAAGAACTGTATATGTTCAGTTAGGGAGATCTTGGTCATTTAAACTATTTTCATTATTTTTGTTGTTATTCTGTTTATTTACCTGTATTGTACCTATTTTGGAATTCCTGATGTGCTGTGGTTTGGGTTAGGGTTGGGGGGTAGTAGTTGGTAGATACATTTTCTTGTTTACTGTAATATATTTGCTACATGTAAAAAAATAAAAAATTGATACATTATGAATACCTTTATAATGCATTATACATAAAGGTTGCCAAACGTTCTTTATAATTGCAAGCATTGTTTGAGATTTATTGTTAAATACTACACACAATTTTGAATTTAATAATTTGTCCAGCTCACCGTCCATGGGGTAATAACATGATTGGGTGTCTGTAGAATAACAGCAGGCATCTGTGGCACTCTGATGATGATAACGCTCCAGATCCACAGACCAACTGCTGATCAGGTGCAACGTTGCACTCTGCACAACAAAAATGCAGTTTTTAAAAAGTTTTTTTTTAAGTCACAATGTCTGAATCCACTCATTAGAAAGATTTATACTGTACCTTGACTGAACAAAGCCTGGCACTCCAGCAATGACTCAACTGTGCGCCCTTCTGGTATCTGATATTTTAATATAATTCTGTACAGCCCATCCTGATTAACAGAAACAAATATTCATGAAATCAAAGTAGCCGTACAACTTGCATAACAATGAATGACATCACAGACCTTCTGAGTCATGTGACAGGAAGAGTAAGGCAGGAGGATGTTGATGGTACCATCTTTACCCCTTTTTACAGAGTACCCACAATGACTTGGGCCTTCCAAAATAGGTACAGCTTCTGTTTTTATCCCATTGGAAGGGGCTGTGAAAGAAGTGTCAAATTTTAAGATATATTTTTTATTTAGTATATTAAAAGCCTGAACCTCAAACTCACCTTGTACAAAGAGGCCAGATGTTGGTCCAGGTGGCAGTTTTACGTTCATATGTTGGCTAGAACACAGCACCTGAAATTCAGGGGGTGGGTGAGCGGGTGTGGGTTTGGTTGTAAGGTGAGGAATGATTTGGTGCAAAGGTTTGATTGTAACAGGAGGAACTGTAGGTTGTGTGCCTATATTTCCAATATAGTGACACTGAAGCTATAGGGTGAGAGAGATCCCAGAAACCTGACATATAGAAAGATCACTGTGGAGGACTGAAGAGGTAAAAAAAAAGAACATAAGCAGAAAGAGTGAGAAAGTGTCATACATGATACCTGATAAACACTGGACAATATGCGGTGAGTAACCAAAAGCCATTCCTAACCCAACGCTAAACAACGTAATTTAAAAGAAAGTTTATTTATTGTCATTTTAATTATATTTAACTGACAGCCATATTTGTTTAATCTCAAATTTATTCCACGTTTAATTTTGCAATGTTTTGCAAGGTTGTGAAAAGGTCTCATTACTAAGGTCTCATTAATAAAACTCTACTAGCCAAGTCTACAAAACTGTAAAATGTTAATGTATTAATTTTGTAAAGATCAATAATTAAAAAAAACACTATTTAATTATGTCATACATACAACATTATAAAGCCAGTTTTTGCAATTGTAAAATTTTAATATTAAACAATAAAAAAGTATCAGCTGCTTTTAATATATGTACTGAATTTATATACATTATCAATATATACTATGATACAATTACTAAATGTTCTTGATTATAATTACTTTTATATGAGATTTGTAAAAGCTATACACTTAAAGGGTTAGTTCACCTAAAAATGAAAATTCTGTCATTAATTACTCACCCTCATGTCGTTCCAAACCCGTAAGACCTCTGTTCATCTTCAGAACACAAATTAAGATAATTTTTGATCAAGTCTGAGAGCTCTCTGACCCTCCATAGACCAATAGTATCCAAGATATATCTCCCATAGACAGCAACACAACTGCAATGTTCCCAGGTCCAGAAACGTAGTAAGGACATCGGTAATCAGCGTTGTTTACGTTCAGCATGCACGCGCTGTCTACTGAACGTAAACAACACTGATTAAGTTGATTACATTCTGTACTTTCCAAAATGGCGGAATATGGTAACTCGGGGAGAAGAATTGTTGAATAAATTGTGTCATTATTGTTTTCTTTGTGCACAAAAAGTGTTCTCGTAGCTTCATAATATTACGGTTGAACCCCTGATGTCACATGGACTATTTTATCGATGTCCTTGCTGGACCTGGGAACAGTGCAGTTGCATTGCTGTCTATGGAGGGTCA